AGAAGTGTGTGGGAGAGAAGCAGTCACGATCTAATCAGTTAGTGTTGTTTGTTGTTGTTGCTCTGTGGTAAGTGTGTGTTTATGACCCTGTCTGTTGCTAGTGGTGAGTCACTCTTCCAAATAAATATTAATATGTTTATGCACGTATTGGATTTTATACAACTTCCATGAGTAGGGTTCCAAGAAATAACAAGTTTTAGAAGCTAACTAAGTCCTTAGCTTGGTAATTTTATTACATAATTCTTTGTAATATCAGTACCAGGGAATCCAAATATTGCACTATTCAGATATTGCCCAGTAATATTCACTGGTGTTTTCCAGTGTTTGGATATTTACTATAGGCTTTAGTTTTGTAAATACTTTAATAGTGGAACCTCAGAGAAGATGGGAAGGCTGCTGTGGAATACGCTGACGTGAAATCTGGAATGGAATTAAAATCTGAAATGGCAAAGGCAGTATTTCTATGGCAAAACCAAAATTAGGGCAAATAGCAAAATATTTTCATTGTTAGATAAAGGAAATGAGCTAATATGAAGCAGCATGAGCTGCCCTGGACCTTCTCTCACTGAGGACAGGTTCTTTGTCTGTCCCTTCTTCATCTACATCTTAGTTCAACCAACATCAACATAGAAATGAAATAAGTTTTTCTATGTCTGGAAAATTTGACATGAAAAAAGAGCAAGGTTATTGGATAGTGCACTTAATGCTGTGAAGTGTTTTAAAATTTTCTTTTAGAATGACAGAGCTTAGATATTAAGTATTTGTAATAGTATCTTTGACATTTTAAATAGATTTTAATTTTGCATTTTTATGTTATTGTTCCCCTTTTTTATTTTTTTTATTAGTAGATGTTTGTATCAGGTTGAGATGGTTTTTTCACATTATTGAAACATACAATTTTGTCATACTGTATTAGTTCAAATAACAATAAACTATGCATTCATTATTTTTTCCACACAGAATACTTCTGAAACTTTAATAGAAGAAATAACTCATTATTATTATGATCACTCATTATTACTTTAAAAGTACATAAATCATAAAAAATAGAATAATTTATGACTTAGAAATTCCTATCTCTTAACCTCAGATTCTGAGTATTGATATCTATTGGGAATTTGGAGACAATTCAACATTTCCTTAATTTCTTGACTGATTTTTATTATGATTCCGAAAAATACATAAATGTCCCAAACAATGCCAGGAAGGAATCCTCACCTGGAAGCATTACCAGGCACTGTTCTAAGCTTGTTACATGTCTCATCCCATCTAGTTCTCACAGTAACCTAGGATGGGAAGGCATGTTGGTGGCTTCATGTCACACATGAGGCAACGGAAGTATAGATGAAGAATAGGCACTGCCTTTAAGACCGTATAGAAAGGAGGTGGTGGAGCAGACTCTAAGATGTCTGAGACTAGAACTCTTGTTCTCAGCGAGTGCCCTATCTATGAGGCAGTCAGAGAGGTGATTCTGGACCTGTGGAGAAAGGATGGAGATGGAAGTGTACAGCTACATTGACTTCTTTCCAGTAATAGAGGGCCTTCTATCCAGGTGCATCGTCTGTGTGGGCTAGTGCCGCTGTGAACTAGAATGGGGGTGTGATGGTCTTTGTGCTTTCCAAGCTAGGTCCACACAGTTGAACTTTCCCTATTCTTTGAAAGAAAGACAAAAAGAACATTTGTTCTCTAATTTCATTTCAACAAATTAGTTCTGTGTCAGAGTAGACAAAGTGAAATGACAGATGGGGAATCAGCCCTTCTCATTTCAGAAAGGGCCCTGTGCTTGTGGCTGGCAGTGGCCTGGTGCTTGCTGAAGAGCTGCTCCAGCCTCTGCTGGGTCTTGGCCACACCATCAGTCCTCTTTTGCTCCTGTCAGTCCTCTCTCACAGATGTGTCTGTCTCTGCGTTAGCTCTAGCATGGTATGTCAACCTCTCTTAAGAATACTTTCTAATGTCAGTCTGCTCAGGGTGTCTGTATCTGTGAGAGACAAAGGAAAGAATAGTGACTTCTTTTAAAAATAACTTAAAAATAAGAATCTTGAAAGTTTACATGTTTATACATGCCAAAACGCTGCTTAGTTCAGCTGTCAAAAACTTTGTAAGTGATCTCTATGGAGATATCAAAAAAATTACTGGTTTTATGTGAGCTCATCAAATTCCAAGAATTTCAGGGCTTAGGAAAACAACACACTGTGTGGAATTGTGGGGCTAGTTGCCTAGAGATGATAGTTTTCTTGTATGATGACTTTTGGTAATGTGTTGAAGATGGAGTTAGGCAGGTGGCTTAGTTTAATACTAACAGCACTGGAACATTGCATGGTTAGGAAAAATACCATAGATGCTCTCTATGGAGTACTGTGGCTTTAAATGCCTTTCTAGAAAGCCAGATATACATATGGTGATTATGAGCTTTGGACATGGACAGATCTGACTTCATAGATTGCTGCTGCTGCTTGTGTACTGTGTGCTCTTGGACAAATTGCATAGCTCCTCTGAGATTTTTCATCTTGGAAAATTAGGGAATATAAGACTTAAGGTTTTGAAGATTAAATGAGACCTGTGTGAAGCTCTGAATACAGTGCACATGGTACAAAACAGACACTAAAGAGAAGGTAGCCCTTTATTTATTTATTGAACACCTTTTTGTGTGCCAGGAATTTTCTGAGGAGGATTATACAGTGATGAACAAGACAAACCCAGCCTCTTATCTTAATGAGACAAGTAGGCAAGAAATTAGGACAAATGGGGTTAAGTGCCAACACTAGAGAATGCAGGGTGGCTGGGGAGCACCTGGGAAGGGCATATGATGAGGGCCTAGTAGATCAGACAGAACACAGAGGAGGAAAAGACAGGCACCCCCTCAGACTGGCTTAAGTATCTCAGGGATGCGCTGAAAGGCTCCCAGGCTTTGGTGGCCCTCAGAGTTGTTCATTTTTTTTTATACAGAAAAGGAAATAATATACAGGTGCAAATAATAACCACCTTGCCTATTGACTTGAACATGTGCAGTAGAATCCAAATGTTCAAATTCATCAAGGATCATGTTCTGGATAAATAAGATATCCATATAATGTGGGTTTGACACTTTAATATCCCTTTTAATTTGATCCTTAATGACCTTTTTAAATGTTCCCAGTAAAAAAAAAAAACGAAAGCAGAAAAAAGTAGTCCTTTTTCTGGTGTGTGTTTGATGATTCAGTCATTTATTAACACTGCCCACTATATTATGTTGGAGGGCAGAGGGACAACCCTGAGGGCTGCTGGTGTCTTCCAGAATTCACAGTCCTTGTTAGATGCCCCTCCTGTATGCTCCCTGGACTTTCTCTAGCATATTCTTTAGGGCACTTGCCCCATGTGTTGTGGTTGCTTGTCTACTTGTCTCATTAAGATAAGGGGCTGGGTTTGTCTTGTTCATCATTGCATTACTATTATCAGAAATTACCTGGCATACAGAAATTGTTCAATAAATTTTTGTTAGGTGCCCAATAAATATTTACTTGTTAAATAACTTAAGTCCTTGAATGCTGTGGCCAGTTCTACTTTTGTTGACCCATCTTCTCTGCTTCTACCTTTGATCTACCTAGAAATGAAGGTTGCCAGCAGAAACAGGATAGCTGAATCTTAGTTTCATGTAAAAATAGTCAGCCCAGGGTAGAGAGAGCTCTTTTGCATGGACTTTGTACCACAATTATGTCATCAGGAGGCTTTTTCCACTTAGTCCTGAATTTGCAGATATTTTGAGTGGTTGAGGTGACTGGATATATTTCACTGCCCAAGGCAGTGAAACTTAGATTTCAGAGGTAAGACAGCCTTCCATCCAATTCCAATTCTGTGTGTCTAGCTGTGTAATCTTATTACTTATCTGAATCCTCAGTCTCCTTATCTGTTCAATGGGATTAATAATAATAATACCTTATACAGTCATTGCAAAGATTAAGATAATACATATGAAAGCTTAACCAATGCTTGGCACATAGTAAAAACTGTAAATTTTTATTACTGTAAGTCATTTACATTTTATTTTTAAGGAATAAATAATCAATTTATGCTAATGTTGATGATTTGCTAAAATGGGAACTACTGAAATGTTTCTTGGTAATATCAATGTGGTAGCCTTGAAAATGCACCATGGTATGGAAATAATAGACTGACAGTGTCACCTGCTTCCTCCAGGATCCACCTCTGCTTTGCATCCAAGTGCTTCGCTTCTCTGCTTTGCCTGGGCTGTCCCCAGCCAGTGACTAGGCACAGTGAGGCTACTAATGCAGCCCTGTTCCTGCAAGATGTGGGACTCCTCTACTGGGTGACTTTAGCTCAAGAACTCCCCATCAGCCTGATGGAAACCTCTGTAACATTGCTGCCATCTGAGACCATCTGTCCGGCCCTCCTTCCTCTCCTCCCCCCTTCACAGGGTCCAGCTCTGCATTGTAATCTGAGGCTCCCTCCACCTTCTCCAGCTTCCTGTTCATTTCCTTTACTGGCATCTCCTCCAGTAAACCTCTTGCTTGTCTTGGTGTCCGCTTCTGGAGGATCTGAATGTACACAGTCATAACTGTTGGGAAGGAGTAACAATCTGCACCCTTGAGCACAGAGTAGATATTTTGTTGCATCAGATGTCACAAGGCGAAAGCTGTTACAGTGGTTTCACTTCAACTCTATGTTATTGCATGTCCTCAGAATTAGTTTGGTATTACTGGTCATAAATTCTCTAGGGTAGACATTAGCCTCTGTTTTCTCAGTGAAGGCTACGCACATTAGGACCTCACACTAATCTGAAGATAAAGTTGTAAGATTGCCCTTATGTAGACAGTCCTCTGTAGCTCCAGGTCTTTAATGTGATGTGATTTTAGTCTTTAACATTCATGAACCAAAAATTTCTCCAAAAAAAGCTATTGATAGCTCTTCAGCATTTGCCTGTTTTTATAGTCTTTATCTTCTGCTGATTTCTTTGGCTTCCTTATTTTTTCCCCTAAATCCTCACTTGATGATTTTTGTGACAGACCAGGTCCAGGGAACAGTCACTATCCGGAACATAAGCTCTCTGTCTTCCGGTTTGTACCAGTGCGTCGCCTCTAATGCCATTGGAACCAGCACCTGTCTTTTGGATCTCCAGGTTATTTCACGTAAGTATTTAAAATTCTGACATCCACTCTGGGTCTGAAACACTAAGGTCTTTGTTAAACCAGGGAATGAAGAGTTCCACTTAATTGTTTTCAGGTTTTCAGAGATTCAGTAGCAAGTCTGTTGGTTTTAATCATTATTGAAAGTATTTAAAAAATGTATTAGTGTACTTCTAGCCTCAGCAATATGACATCTTTATGCCGAAATGTCTTTTTCTTTAGGATTATTAAAATCAAGTCAGTCCTGATTAGATGGTGCTATAGGCAGTATACAGATTTGCAGTGATGGCAAGACTTTCTTGTGTTTTCTCCTAATCCCTTTATCTGCTTAATTGTTAGGCGGGCTGGTTAAGCAGTGTAGAAGTTTTCTCCGGTTGAGTCATCTAGGTTACTTGAATTCCAATTGTGAAAGAGTGAATCTGGCTGGGATGAGGTGCCATCCACTGGCCTCTCCCGCTGACTGCCAGAGTTCAGCCGGCGGAGGGGGCAGGCCAGCATCTCTCCTGTGCTGTCCTGAGTGTTGCTGTCAGTCGTAGTCACTGGGGACACAGAAAGTTAACTGAGGTTTAACTGTATATGTATGCAATGCTTTAGGCAATTTTGTACATTTTAAGAAGGTTCTGTAGTAACTACATGTTTATAAAGTTGCATGGGTGTATGCTATTTCTTTTTCTTTCTTATTCCCCCCCCCTTTTTTTTTGTCGTTCTTTAAATCTACTTTAAATATATTTTGCAGCCCAGCCCAGGAGCATTGGACTAATAGCTGGAGCCATTGGCACTGGGGCAGTTATTATCATTTTTTGCATTGCACTAATTTTAGGGGCATTCTTTTACTGGAGAAGCAAAAATGAGGAGGAGGAGGAAGAAGAAATTCCTAATGAAATAAGGTATGTATCAAATTATTTGGCCTGCATAACCAATGTCTGTATTTTTATTCATTTTAACAGCTAAGATTTCTTTGTTAGTCTTATGACTGATAGCCAAGATAGTTAAACTAGCCAAATAATGTTTTCTAGTACATTATATTTTTCCACATAGCGTTACTCACTTGTTTTACTGCATGAAAGGGGAGGAGGGTCTAGCATGTGCCCAATTAGAGAACACAAGTGAGGAATTTGTCTTCTCCCATATTTCCAAGATAGATGGGGTTAGGTGGCTACCACAGTAGACAGGTGAGTTTTGAACATGTGTTTGACACTGTCATTTATAATAGATGAGGACATAAAGCAAGAAGGAATACTGTAAGAGCATACTAGTACACAGATAGGCCAAAGCAGTATGGCTTTGTGTGAAAGACAATTCAGTCAAGAATATGTACATCATAATAAAACAAAGTCATAATGATCATTAAAGAAAAATGACTCTTGGCATATCATGGGATAGAGGATTCAAGCTCAGCCTCAGATTGCACCATGTCATGTCCTTATTGAAAATGCTTTAGTGACTCCAGTCTACTTGGCACGACATACACAGCCCTTCAGGATCTGACCCTCACTGGCTTCCCTAGTTTTATCTCTCACGCATCCCTGATCCCTTTGTGTTCCAGTCTATTCTGTATCATCTCATGCCGCAGGGTCTTTACCCAAGCCTCTGCCCTTTTCCTGGAGCAAACTCCCCTTTTCAGTAAATTCCTTGATCTGATTCAAGAGTAGTCCAGGTATCACTCCTCACATGAGCTGACTTTTGCCCCTTGTCCAGCCTTTCAGACTTGCAAATGTTCTTGCATTGATTGTCACCCCCATTGGCCATCAGCTCTTGAATACAGGAGCTGTGTCTTTTTTACCTAAAACATGAAGTTGAATGCCTGGGACTCAATAAATGTTAAATAAATTAGTTAACACCTTCAATTAAGTTAATTGTTTCTCTGCGCCTCTGGTAATTCTTAAGGCTGTAAACTGGATACCAAGATAAATTTCATCCCAGCATAAGATTTCTGAGGAAGACCTCGCATCAGTGCAGTGCAGTTTATATGATTGCTTCATGTAGCCCAGCCCATACACTAACAAATGAATCATTATAAAATTCTTATGGCATATAGTATTATAGTCATGTTCATAATACAGTATTGAAAGCATTGTTATAAATATTTTTAAAACTACTTGCTCTGTGATGATAGGATGATACGCAGTTTTTCCAATCACAATAGAGAGGGGCGTACTGTATGGTAATGTAATTTATTGACAGCAGAGTTATAAAACTGTAAGAAAACTAACATATTGTTAATTCTGTAATTAATACTATATTGATAATGATGACATAAAAATGTCTCATGCAATTCTGGCTGTGCAGTTACTATATTTTCATACAAAGACAATAGATGTTTATTAATTGTACACATGATAATTATTTACTATTCATTAAGTGGGATATATGGAAATATATCACCATAAAGGTCTTCATCCTCACTGTCTTCATATTGAGTTGCTCTGAGGAGGGCAATAGCAACAGGAGCTGGCTACAAAATTTAAGGTCGGCAGTACATACTATAGCTAATTTTAGGCAGTTCTGACTTAATACTGTCTCTTTGTTTACATTTCTCTTGATTGTGAATGGTACCATGTACAGTCTGTATCTGTTTATGTGCTTCAAATTTTGATAAATTTTAACTTATTATAATAGACATGTTTATTTTATGATAGTAAATGTTAAATAGACTAGTATCTACATATATTTTATACATTTTATGGCATAACTAGTTTTTTCTCAATTTTTTCAAAATTTCTGGGTGGCTCATTTGTGAGTTCTTTGAAATTATCAAAAATCTCCAAAAACTTTAATATATTTATTTTTAAAAATCCACGTGTAAGTGCACCCATATAGTTTCAAACCCATGTTATTGAAGGGTCAACTGTGTGTGTATATTCACACACATTTTTTTTTTCATACTTTTTTCACTTTTATTAGAAGGCCTGGTCTTTATACTTTTTCTACTCTTGGAGGTTGAGTAACTAAGGGAAAAATGTTCTTGAGCATGGTCTCAAAGGGAATGAACGTCAAGGGTGAGGCCCCCAGGTCTGCCGTGTTTGCTTTCATGGTCTGTCCGGAGGCATCTGTATTTCACAGACATACTGGCCTTAGCATGAGAAGAAAGAGTCCTGCGCAGGAGGACACGATGAGCCTCAGGTAATCCTAATGACAAGACAACTTTATTTTTGTCCCTTTTCAGAGAGGATGATCTTCCACCTAAGTGTTCTGCCAAAGCATTTCACACCGAGATGTCCTCCTCAGAGAACAACACACTGACCTCTTCCAATACCTACAATAGTCGATACTGGAACAACAACCCCAAAATTCATGGGAACACGGAGTCATTCAGCCATTTCAGTGACTTGCGCCAGTCGTTCTCCCTCCACTCAGGCAATGCCACTATGCCATCCATCTATGCCAATGGGAACCATCCGGTCCCAGCCATACAGAAGACTCTGGTAGTGACAGCCAGTAGAGGGTCACCACCACAGGCCATGCCCAGGAGCAACGGCTCTGTCAGCAGGAAGCCTCGGCCTCAGCCCATGCACTCCTATACCGTCAGCCAAGCCACCCTGGAGCGAATTGGCGCCGTCCCTGTCATGGTGCCAGCCCAGAGTCGGGCTGGGTCCCTCGTATAGGATGTGACTGGATAGAGAGTTCAGAAAAGAATCAGCGGAAACCCCATACGAGAGGTGGAGTGGGGTGGCTGAGTGCTGGGAAAGAAATGCTTTCCTTACGAGAATACTAGTAAAAAACACAAAACAGGCAGTGCTGTTACCTGGCCACTACAATTTATGAAATGAACTGGAAATGCTCCATCATGAAGATTGGTTTCCCCAGCACAGATATCCCAGGATTCTGTTAAAAAAGCTGGATCTCAAAGATGTGCCAAGCCAAGCAAAAAAGATAAAAGAGTAGAATAGCACTTAAACCCACTGCAGCTCAGATGGGCTTCTTCTCTAATTCATGCCTAACTTAGTAATTTTTCAAGAGACTAAAGTGCCAGATGGAGTTTAAATAACGAAATTATTTCAAAAGATAGGTGTCTTTAGATAAAATAATGAACAACCCAGGGATGTGTTCTGCCTCACCCTATTCCCACTTTAGGTAGAGGGCTAATGGCATAAATGGTTAATATTGGTCCCAATAGGGCTGGCTTTTGCAGCATAGAATCAAAACTTTTTACACAAACAAAATTCAGTAAGAAAACAAAAGAAACTTCTCTGAGAAGCCCATTCATATTTATTTATTTATCTCTTCCTGAACCATGAATTTCATATTTGGAATATTGCTATATTGACAGATTCTTGCCTGTCTCTGTTTTTCTAGGGTCTGTTTCAGGTCCATGACACTGTTCATTATTTACTGGAAAAATATTTTTTTAATAGAAAACTATTGGGTTGTTTTTGAGCCCTATGAGAGGCATAGGGCCAGGAAAGAAACGGCTGTGTTTAACACCAAGCGCAGTGAGTGCGTTCACTGAGCCGGCAGGAGGCCCAGCAGGGAAGAGCTGGGTTGTGTGAGCAGCAGAGGAGCAGGAAGGCTCCGCTGAAGGACATAAGCATTCCTGGCAGCCTCTCAGAGCAAGGGCGTCCTGGTCTTCCTTGCTATCACACTGGGTTACTCTTAATGAGGTCAGCACCTCTGCCTTCCGTACTGAAGTAGGTCACTTTCTCCTTGTTTGACAAGTCGAGGTTAGTAGGTTCTGACAGTGAGGCTGGAGTTTCCTTTTTGTTTTTCTCAAAACAATTATTTTTGCAACAGAGGTTAGACTGAGACAAAAGGGATGACTTCAGGTATGCTCTGGGGAGGGTCTGCCCTGTATTTGTCATGGCTCAGGGTTGCAGTTTTGCCCAAATTCATTTTTATACCACTGTAAAGAGACTCCTTTTGTGATTCAGTACCTGGTTTGGCTGGCCTTGTAGTTTACCAGATACTTTACAAACTCCCCACTGTATTTTGTGCTGTGTAGATTTGGCCGTACTTGTTTTGGTGACTATCTTGCCTTAATCCCATTTTAAGTGACACACAAATGATTTCCCAGATTTGTTTGCTAAATTATTTATGATGTTGACCTCATAATTTGATAAGAACATGTTTTCTTTCCTGATGTTGTCTCTCACACCCTCTTGCCACTGTGCTTTTTGCCCTCTTTTCCTGCAAGTATGATTGTCACAGAAAGTGGCTTCCTTATTTTCATACCTATTTGAATAAATGGAAACCAATAGCTCTTGCACACACTTTTTCCAAGAGGGCTAAGCTCAGAACCTAACCATTGCAACCATTCCAATATTGATGAAAAGCTGAATTTGCTTTAGCATTATTTTTTCCCGTTTTATGGTTCTTGACTTTGTAAAAATTGAAATAAATAAATGTCTATACTTTTATAAAGAAAAGTGGAAATACCATGACAGAAAAGATACTATCATATGTTGTTTAGAAAGCATTTATCTTTATTCTAATTATCTAAAATTCAATAAAAGTTTATTCATACAAAAGTAAGTTATCATTAATTATCATTTGCTAATGATGGTATGATTTTGTATTTAGTGTTTCCCTTCAGGTTACATTTTCCATTCTGTTAAATAGTATTCATAAAAATTTTAAGGTGCATATAGTATTTCAAAAATTTCTTTACCTTACTCTTATTTTATATTTAAATGGAGTCCAATTCTCACATATATGAATGAAGATGTAATGGCCCTTTTCATGCATTAAGCTATTTTCACATTTCCTAGTCTTAAAGTTCATGAAGACAAGTCCATGGCTGCCTTTTTCACCCTGTAATCTCTATCACCTAACACAGTGCCTAATTTGGGGATTGAGTAGGTCAATGACTAATGATTGTAAACTGAAGTTGCTGAGTTTCACTTCAGAAAGTTAGGATCATGATTGTAACTCTTGATGTATATTGGATCATTCCTTTGTTTTAATGCTTTATTTTGAGATAATTGTATATATGTAGTTAAGAGAAATAATAGAGATTCCCAAATATCTTTCACTTAATACATTTTTTCTAGATGGTAACATTTTATGTAATTATTATATAGTATCACAAATTGACATGGATACAATCCACCAGTCTTATTCAGATGTCACGAATTTTACATGCTCTCGTGTGTGCACATATGCATTTAGTTATATACAATTTTATCACGTGTAGATTCATGTGACTACCCTCACGGTCAAGATACAGGATTCCTTGTGCTACCCTTTTATAGTCACAGCCACGTCCCTCCTCTCCAAGTCCCTAATTTCTAATCTTTTCTCCATCTCTTAATTTTATAATTTCAAGAATGCTATATAAAGGGAATCATGCAGCATGTAACACTTGAGGATTAGCTTTTCTGCACCCAGCATAACTTTCTTGAGACATATCCAAGTCATTGCATGTATCAATAATTCATTCCTTTTTATTGCTGAGTAGTGGTAGAGATGTACCATAGTTTGCTATAGTTTAATCATTTACCCATTTAAAGATATGGCAATGTGTTCCCAGTTTTTGACTATTACAAATAAAGCTTCTGTGAACCTTTTTTTTTACAGGCTTTTATGTGAATGCAAGTTTTCATTTCTCTGAGATGAATGCTTGAGAGTGCAGTTGTTCCAGTGCCATTTGTTTAAAAGTCTATCCTTCCTCCAATGAATAGCTTTTGCAACTTTGGAAAAAATCATTTTGGCATAGTTGTGTGGGTCTCTTTCTGAGTTCTCTAGTTGTCCACTGATCTTTGTGATTATTCCTTCACCACTGTAGCTACTTAACTAGCTTTAACATCTGGTAGAGTGGTTCCTCCCACTTCATTATTTTTGAAAATTGTTATAGGTATTTTACGCCCTGTGCCTTTCCATATAAATTTTAGACTAAGATGGTCTGTTCCTTCAAAACTGCTGTTTTAATAGGGATTGCATTAAACTTACTAGGTCAATTTGGGAAGAACTGGCATCTTTACTATACTGAGTCTTCAAATCCATGAACATAGTATGTCTCTCCATTTATTTAGGTCTCCTTTGACTTATTTCATCAGCATTTTGTAACTTTCAGAAAACAGATCCTGTACATGTTCTGATGGATTTATTCCCAAGTATTTAATTTTATTTGAAGCATTTGTAAATGTTAGCTGTTTTAAATTTTTGTTTCTATATATTTGTTGTTAGTAAATAGAAATGTGAATTTTTGTGTTTTGTATTCTGTAACCTTGTTGAATTCAATTCAGAATTTGTTTTCTGTTTTTGTTTCGTATTTTTTTGTAGATTCATTGGGATTATCTACATATGTAATCATGTCATCTGAAAGTTTTATTTCTTGCTCTTCAGTCTTTGTACCTTTTCTTTCCCTTGCATTATTACAATGATTAGAATTTACAATACTATGTTAAATAAAAGTCAGGAGTGTAATATTCTTCTCTTGTTCCCAGTCTTGGGGAAAAGCATTCATTCTTTTAACATTAAGTATGATCTCAGCTATGGGTTTTTGTAGATGCTTTTTATCAGTAGAGGAAGTATCACCCTATTACTCGTTTGTGGTAGATGTCTAACAGGAATGGGTGTTGTATTTTGTCAAATGATTTTTCTGCATCAATTGATAAAACCATATTTTTTCTTTAATCTGTTGATATAGTGGATTACATTGACTGTTTTTCAAATGTTGAACCAGCCTTGCATACCTGGAATAAATTGCAGTTGGTTGTGGTGTAAAACTTTTTAAAACTGATGGATTTGATTTGCTATATTTTGTTGAGAATTTTTATATGTAAGTGAATTCTGGAGTAAAATAATACATGTCTGGAGATTTCTTTTTCAGCTTTTAAATTACTAATTTAGTCTCTTTAATCGCTATAGAATTATTCAGCTTGTCTCTTTCATCTTGACTTGGTTTCCATAATTGGTGGGTTTTGAGGAATTGATCCATTTCTTCCAGTTTGTGTATTTTGTGGGTGTAAAGTTATTGGTATTTTACCCTTATTATCCTTCTGATGGGAGGAAGTTCTGTACTGATATATTTTGTTTCTTTCCTGATATTGGTGATGTGTCTTCTATCCTTTTTATGAATCTTCCTTGAAGTTTGTCAGTTATACTGATTTTTTTCAAAGAAGTGCTTTTTGATTTTTTTCAAAGAAGTGCTTTTTGATTTTTTCTGTTTTTGTTTCCAGTTTTATTGACTTTGGCTCTTTATTATTGCATCCCTTCAGCTGGCTATGGTTATATTTTTCTAGTTTCTTGAGGTAGGAGCAAAGAATTGAAACTTCTCTTTTATATTGTAAGCATTTAGGCCTATAATTTCCCCCTCAGTGCTTATTTATTGTATCCACATATTTTGACATGTTGCATTTTCATTTTCATTCAATCTTATGTTTTTAAATTTCCTGTGAGAATTCTTTACCCGGGGATTATTTAGAAATATGTTAATTTCTAAGTTATTAGAGAATTTCTGCTTGTCTTTCTGTTAATGAGTTTTAGGTTAAAATTAGAAAAATAATATGTATTATTTTAATTCTTTTAAATTCATTGAAGTTTGTTTTATGGCCTAGGACATAATTTATGTTGGTGCATGTTCGATGGGCTCTTTTAAAAAGTTTCCATTCTGCTATGTGATATGGAATGTTCCATTTATGTCAGTTAGATCTGGTTGGATGACTGGTCAGTTTTTTATCCTTTTCTATCTAGTAATCGGTTGCTGGAACTGGGATGCTGAATTCCCCAACTACAACTGTAGGTTGTCTGTTTCTCCTTTTAGCTTTATCAGTTTTTGTTTCATGTATTTTGAGACTCTCTCCTTGGTGTGCCTATGTTTAGAATCATTTTGTCTTCCTCATGGATTAATCCTTATATCATTATGTAATTAATGCCCCCTTTGTCTCTAGTAATATTCTTTGCACTTAAGTCTATTTTATCTGGTATTAATTTATTACTCCTGCATTTTTTACATTACTGTTTGCATGGTATGCCTTTTTCCATCCTTTTATAATAGTCCTATGTCATCATATTTGAAGTGTGTTTCTTGTAGCCAGCATGTTGTTGGGTGATATTTTTGTATCCACTCTGCAAATATCTGTCTTTTAATTGTTGCATTTCTTCTTCTTTGTTGTACTTTGTTCCTTTCTGATGGTTCAAGAGTCCTTTTATTTCCTTTCTGTTTGAAGAACTCCCTTCAGCTAATTTGTAAGGGTTAGGTCTACTAACAACAAATTCTGTTAGTTTTCTTTTGGCTAAGAATGTCTTCCCCTCTATTCCTCACTGGATATAGTGGTCATGGCTGACAGTTATTTTCTTTCAGCACTTGAAAAATCTGTGAAGTGTTCAACCATTATCTTTTAAACTGTTCTTTCAGCCCCTTTCTCTTTCTCATCTCTTTCTGGGACTGTGATGATGGACCTTTTGTTATTGTCCCACAGGTTTCTGAGGCTAAGTTCATTTCTTCAATCTTTTTCTCTCTGCTGTTCAGGGTAAATCCTATTGATCTCTCCTAGGTTTACTGATTTCTGTCCTCTGTCATTTCCATTGAGTTAAGTCCATCCAGTGAGTTTTTTTTATTTCAGTTACTGTATCTTTTAGTTTGGCAACTTACATTTGATTCTTTTTTAAACAAAATTTGATTACTAATTTAAATTTCAGTGTATATTATATCTCAAGACTGTGATATAATTTACATACTATAAAGTTCACTTACATAAAGTATACAATAGTTTTTAGTATGTTTATGGAGTTGCAGAAATGTCACCATAATCTAATTTTAGAACATTTTCATCACCCCAAAAAGAAACCTTTACTTACTGATAGTCACTCCTTAGTCCCCAACACTTTAAGCCCTGTGCAACTACTAATCTACTTTATGTCTATAGATTTGCCTACTATGGACATTTCATATAAATAGTATCATACAATATGTATATAATATGTGTGTGTGTGTGTACGTGTTGTGACTGGCTTATTTTTTCAGTATAATGTTCTTAGATTCATCCATGTTGTAGCCATACTATCACTTCATTCCTATTTTTTTGCTGAGATTTTCTAGTTTTTCAGTTAGTTTCAAGAGAATTCATAATTGCTTATTGAAGCTGAAGCATTTTTATTACAGCTGCTTTAAAAATCTTGTCAGATAATTTTAACATCTGATTCATTTCCTAATGTCATCTATTGATGGTTTTTCTTATTCAAGTTGTGATTTTCCTGGTTTTGGGGGTGATTAATGGTTTTTGTTTTCTCCTGGATGTTTTTGGTATTATATTATGAGACTCTAGAACCCCTTTTAAATATTCTTTTTATTTTAGTAGGCATTCCCCTTGCTTGGGGTGTAGCACAAGAAGCAGATGTGTATATGTGCTTAGTTGCCTGCAGTGCCAGCAAACATGGAATGTTTGCATTACGTCTTTGCAGATGGATGGGATGTAAGGATAAACCCCCTTAGCTCTATTTATACCTTCTTGGTGAACATGGAGCACCAGCTTGCACCATGTTGTTGTCTTCAAGTAGGGGGTGTAAGCTCAGCTTCTGGTGGACC